TGCCTACTGCAAATGCTGCATCGATTCGTTTGTTGGTAGCATTGGCGTGCAAGTATGATTTGGAATTTCTCCACTTTGACATTGAGCAAGCGTTTGTTCAGTCGGAATTGGATCACGAGGTGTTCATGAAGTAGCCTACTGGCTGCGAGTCGGATGACAGGAAAGGTAGTCCGTTTAGGCAAAAGTTTGTATGGACTGAGACAGGCATCTAGAATATTTCACAAGAGGCTAGTGTCGGACCTGAAAAGGATTGGTTTCGAACAATCTCTGTCAGACCCCTGTGTTCTTCGGTTTATGATGGGAGACGAGGTGTTGGGTATGATTGCGATTCATGTGGATGACATTCTGTATGAAGGAATTGAGAGGCTTGCTAAGATGGTTGTGGAAGCGCTAGGTGACTCTCTCCCCACGAAGAATTTGGGCGAGATCAGGTTCTTTCTTGGTTGCGCATTCGTTCGCGACCGCGAGGCTGGTACGATTGAGATGTCTCAAGAGAGTTACATCAGGAGTGTTCTTGAGAGATTCAATGTTTGTCGCACCAGCTCGATCCCTGCTTCCCTTACTAACGATTACAAGTCCGTGATGGAGGATGAGGGGGCACGAGATGTGCCGTTCCGAGAGGTGGTGGGGAGCCTGATGTGGATCGCCAACCAGACGAGGCCCGACATCTCGAATGCTGTGCGGGCGGTGGCAAGGCACTCTCACGAGCCAAAGAAAAGCCACGGGAAGGCTGCTCAGAAGATTCTAAATTATCTTCTGGAAGCGGCACATCTAACTTTGAAGTACAAGCAGGACACTATGGTAGACGTAGGCACGTTGGTTTACGTCGACGCAGACTTCGCCAGTAAGGCCACTGACCGTAGATCAGTTTCGGGAGCACTAGTTCTAGTAGCTGACTGTCTTGTTGCTTGGATTTCTAGGACACAGAAATGTGTCACACTTTCAACAACTGAAGCAGAGTATGTTGCGATGGGTGACGGTGTAAAAGAGGCTCTGTTTGTCAAAGGAATGCTCGAGTTCTTGAGGCCTAGTGATAGAATCGGTAAGATTCAGGTACGAGAGGACAACGAGGGTGCGATTGCACTTGCTGAGAATCCACTCAGTTCGTGTAACAGTAAGCACATTGACGTGAGTCACCATTTTCTCAGGAATTTGACAGAGGAGGGAGTGTTGGAAATCAGGCATGTCTCTAGCGAAGTACAGCATGCGGACATTCTGACGAAGGCTCTGCCGAGAGATCCTTTTGAAGTTCATCGTAATTTTGCTCAAGGTTTGATTTCTAAGAATTAGTCTAGAGACCTGTGTTTTATTTTAGTTGTTATATTCTGATATACATTTGATTGGTCGGGACAACAGCCCCAAGGGAGGGTGTTCGTGATAGTTGCTGCTGTGTGTGTCGACAGAGTGACGTAGAACAACTTGATCGGACAGGTTGCATTACGGGACTGTCTGCGTTGAAGATCGTTGAGCAGCCACATATTATCAGAACAGCAAGGAACGTTCTGTGGGAATGTTCTTCGTGGATGGTGCATTACCCCGAGTGAGTGTGTTTCTTATGGATGGTGCATCAGTCAGAGGTATGGTACGCTGTGAAGTACGTTAGCCACTGTCTGTTGAGTCTTTGTGTTCCGATATTATTGTGTTCTGCTTTTGTGCGTTGGTCGAGCGACACGGGTGGTGGCTGCGGTGCTGTGGTGCTCCCCACCCTTGCTCACTTCACCTTTTGACCTGTTCTCCTGGTCCAAGATCTCAACAATAAAACATATTTTCCCCAGAAGCCACGAGTTTACCAACATGCTCAACCCTGCTACACTACCCCTCCTGAATGTAATCCCCAAGTCACTAGTCCTTACCACATACATACCCCAAAATACCAAAACCTGCTCTCCAATGAATTTCTTTCGAAGCACAGTACCGTGCTACCGCTCTTACTGCACTCGCGATATCTGGCCTCGTTTGCGTTGCCAGCCACATCAGTGATCCTATCAGCTCGCGAAGGCCATGATACCGCTTCCTCATCCTGGTCAAACTCTGAAAGCTTCAACCCTACATGAAGAGGAATTTCCTTCCCGTACTCCTTTTCTAGGTACGTTAGCCTGTGACCACGGAAATTGACCGAGTCAAGTGCTGGATTAGTACGGAGAGATTGAGACAGAAGGAGGTACTGGATAGAGAGACCGGGATGATTTTTAATGTAAAGACAACAACAACAACAACAACTCTACCCCAAATTCCATCCCGAAATCTTCAGCGTACGTCTGCTGCGAAATGTTCAAAATCCCTGCATCCCAATCCCTCTCATTGAAACATCCAGAGTACCACCTCAAGTCACCAAGATTCTTCACCGGTACCATGGTGTTGAGGTCTCCACCAAATTGGTCACACCTCTCCTCTCCTCTCCAATCGAAAATATGTCATCCACATGTACTACCAGAGTCACTACCACTCTTCCCTCCTCGATCAACCAAAACACACACGTATCCGCCAGACACTGAATATATCCCAGACAAATCAAACACCTCGCCACGTGTGAATGCCATTGCCTTGATGCCTGCTTACGGCCATACAGACTCTTGTTCAACTTCACTATCATGCCTGACAATCTACCACATCCCTCTGGCAGACGGATGAAAACATCCTCACTCATTCAAATCCGACTGGACAATGTTTGCGGCCTACGCCACTTATTTATCGGGTGAGACTGTTTTGGTGATGTATTAACTTCACGGGAGGTAGACGACCGTCCTTCACACGGACGAAAGAGGGAGTGCTCAAAGAGCGGCTCCCACAGCAAGGAGGGGCNGATGAAAACATCCTCACTCATTCAAATCCGACTGGACAATGTTTGCGGCCTACGCCACTTATTTATCGGGTGAGACTGTTTTGGT